TTTAAAGTAGAGACACTACATACTGATATACACCTGAACATCAGCAGGAGAGGACTCTTTAAAGTGGAGACACTACATACTGATATACAGCAGGAGAGGACTCTTTAAAGTAGAGACACTACATACTGATATACACCTGAACATCAGCAGGAGAGGACTCTTTAAAGTAGAGACACTACATACTGATATACACCTGAACATCAGCAGGAGAGGACTCTTTAAAAGTAGAGACACTACATACTGATATACACCTGAACATCAGCAGGAGAGGACTCTTTAAAGTAGAGACACTACATACTGATATACACCTGAACATCAGCAGGAGAGGACTCTTTAAAGTAGAGACACTACATACTGATATACACCTGAACATCAGCAGGAGAGGACTCTTTAAAGTAGAGACACTACATACTGATATACACCTGAACATCAGCAGGAGAGGACTCTTTAAAGTAGAGACACTACATACTGATATACACCTGAACATCAGCAGGAGAGGACTCTTTAAAGTAGAGACACTACATACTGATATGAACCTGCATTATAGGGCCTCTTTTAGCTTTTGAGGGTGTATTTAACTATTTCTAATAATCTTTAATATAAATTAATTCCCTATAAACCTCAAAGTAAATCAAGAGTAAAACGATTATGAAAATTGCCCAAAAATGCTGAAAACAAACCGCTCACGTCCATCTCTACCTCCACACTTTGAACTACCGTCCTGCGATGATATTTACAGCATTTACCTTCCCTTACAACATGTATTGTATCCACAGATTCATGTTTATCTTGCAGAATATCTCTGAATTAAAGCGAAACACAACAACAAACAGACCACTCTGAAGAATTTAGTTAAAAATAACATACATTTTATTAACTTTGAAGTCGTACACAAACAGTCTGTATCAAATATACATATATACAACTTCCTTTAGTAAGAAAACGAGGAGAAATGTACACCACATTCGAGTCCTTTTGGCACTTGATGTTCAGAGGAGTTTAATAACGTGGAAACGAAGGAAAGTGGCAAAAAAACACACGGAGAATATTTGGGGAAATCTTTCTTCAGCGTCCTGAAGTCTGACAGTAACAAATCATTAACACCTGCCGTCACTACTGAACATTTTCCAGATCACACCACCATTTATCGTCCATTTAAAAGCTGCAAATGTTAGTCGATCAACAGGAAAGAAATCCTAAAATATATATTTGTTTTAATCGCTCACAATTTTAATTAAGACACGCAAACATGGGAAAAATGTATTAACTTTTTACACACTAATTCATTTCTAAGTGACGTCACGTTGATGTTTTTCATTCAAACAGGTCATTTTCTTAACTGGTGGGTTCAGGGACCATCGGAAATCACAAACCTCAGTTATACAAGCAGTGTCATTAAATCCAGGAAAAATAGATTTAGGGCAAAGGTTTTAGAAAAGCAGCGATGATTTGGAAATGATCAGCAGTGATGGAGATGTTTAGCTGAGGGTAACCCAGTGGTGATGCCTTTAGTCGGTGGAACCTGCGGGTTTGACATGTTTACCTCTGATACCACAAATCATGTGTCCTTTAAATCACAGCAACATATGAATGATGCTCCGTCTCTTAATGGTTCGAGGCATCCATCACAGAGTCTCTCTCTCTCTCGCTCGCTCTGTCGCTCGCTCTCTCTCTCGCTCGATCGCTGTCTCTCTCTCTCGCTCGCTCTCTCTCGCTCTCTCTCTCTCGCTCTCTCTCGCTCGCTCTCTCTCTCTCTCTTGCTCTCTCTCTCTCGCTCACACATTTACAGGGGGAAAAACCCTAACAAAAATCCATCAAATCGAGCCTGCTAATTAATTAAGAAACGAATCTCCATGTCAAAATATTAGTTAGTTGCATCTCTGCACTTCACGTTCACTGTGATGGATCGATTTGAAGTTTCATGCTTTACCAAAAACCAAACGGCTGACTGGACGAACAAAACCTGAGAAATTGAACAAAAGTCGGCCTGAAAACGCTCGTAAAAAAAAGTGCACATGATTTGTAGATGTAGACACACACACTCACACACACACACACACACACACACACACACACACACACACACACACACACACACACACACACACACACACACACACACACACACACACACACACACACACACACACACACACACACACACACAGCTTGTTATGTCCTTTGTATGTCCACATTGTAAACTTGCCTGGTCTCCCATCTTTGTTGCAGCCTCCAGGCTGTATACAGTATCATTCATGTATTTGACATCCATCCACAATATGAAATAATTTACCAGTCAAAGATCATTATCTAACATACTCACACTTGAACATTCACCTGAAGACATGTCAGCCACAACACACGTTGAATCTAGCACCACTTTTATTGGCACAGAGAATCAAGGTAAACATAAAAGGTAAAAATGTAATCTTTAAGCTTGTAAACTTTATGTGTACTATATAGAAGTTATCATCAGGTTTGATCTCAGTTTAAGGAAGAGATTTCCCACGTATAAAATAACCAACATTTCCAGTGTTTCCGCTAAAGCTTTGGCTCCTTAACATTCAATGGACTCACACTTGGACATTTACATAAAAATGGGAAGTTAAAATGTGCTTTTCCCCAATAAATGGCAGCAGCTATAGCTCAGAATGGCCAGTGCCAGCAATGCCAAACATTATCCCGTTGCTTTTATACTTCCTAACGGTTATATTTCTCCATAAGACATAGTTTGAACACCATACACTTGGTTTGCATATTCCCCAAGCTTTCAATCAAGACCCCATGATTGAAAACACAATAACATGCATACAGTATCTTCTATAAAAAAACATCTTCCAGCGCAATTGTCTTGTAACACAACATCAGGTTTTAGTGTAATGCATGCCAAGATAATGATGTTCAATGTTTGCTTTAAGAGGCCTATGTTTAATTGGGCTTTAACAAGCGCTGCTGCGGATCACATATGCCCTTTTAAAAAATAAATTGTCCCTGATCTGATACATGCAGTCTCATGCACATTTGAACCAAAGACAGGACAGATAAAGTCCTGATTAAAGAATGGCTTTCACAGTTATACAGAGCTGCAATAGTGTGTTGAGGGTTAGATACTATAGGATACAGGACCATGGCATACAGAGTTTTAACACAGTTTTTAGCATATTTAAGCTTTATATAATAAAATACATTATTCCATTCACTTCCTTTCTTCAACAAAGTGTATCATATCATTTGGTCTCCTGAGGGGATCCGTGATCAGGAACCCTGAGTACTGCAGACTGAGAGGCATGAAGGCTTTACACCTTCTCCAACTGTGTCGCCCATGTTTTCAGTTTATCCGCCAGCACTGTGGGAGAGAGAGAGAGACACCATATTAGTATTGTTATTGTTGGAGAAGTTCTACGGTTAAAGGGCCCTACTGTGCTTTTTTTGTGTAGTGTGTTATATAGGTTTTTGTGCATGTAAATGGTCTGCAAAGGAAACAGTACTTAATAATAATAATTATTATTATTATTTATTATATTTTTCAACAAAAAACAAAAACAGTAAGACAAACGGCCAGACAGAAAAAACAACAAATAAATTAGGGGCCAAAGGCCTTGGCAAACAGATGGGACTTGAGGGCCCTTTTAAAGACGTCAAGCGTGGGGATGTTGCAGATCACCGCAGGGAGAGCTTTCCAGAGGGGGGGGGCTGCCACACTGAAGGCTCTGTCCCCGAAGCATCGCAGGTTGGTGCGGGCAGTGGTGAGCAGGCCAGAGTCTGAAGGTGAGGAGGATGCGTGACTTGACCGGCAGCCAGTGGAGGTGGATGAGGGTGAGCCTGTCTAGGGGTTTGTTGGGTACCCCGAACAGGACACCATTGCAATAGTCCAAACGGGAGGGAGGTGACAAACGCACGGACTAAGGTTTCTGCTACAGGAGTCTGGCAATGTTCTTTAAACGGAAAAAAGCAGATTTGGTGACGGACGTGATGTGGGAGTAGAAGGAAAGGGTGGAGTCAAAGATGACACCCAGGTTGCAGACTTCAGGAGCAGCGCCTTGGGTGCCACAACCATGAGCTCTGTTTTCTTGCTGTTAAGGTTGAGGACATTTGATGACATCCAGGTTTTTATTTTGTGCAGGCAGTTGACAAGGGGCTGAGGTGGGAGCTGGGAGGATGGAGTAGTGCTGAGATAGATTTGGGTATCATCAGCATAGCAGTGGAAGTTGAGTCCATGATGGTGGATGATCTGGCCGAGGGAGATCATGTAAATGGTGAACAGGAGGGGGCCAAACACAGAGCCGTGGGGGACACCGTGATTGACTGGGGCTGGGGGGGAATTTGAGCCATTGATGGTAACAAACTGTTCCCTGTTATGGAGGTACTTACAATAAACTTAGTAAATACAGTACTCATTCCACCACTGCAACTATCACGCTATGCACTATTATAACTATGCAATGATTCGCTGCGGTGAGTCCCGCACTGTCAGCAAATAAACCTTAAAAAATGTATTAAGTCAATCCGAGTTAATACAGTTTTTAAGGTTTATTTGCTGACAGTGCAGGACTCACAGCAAAAAACATGGCCAACAGAAGCTAAAAATTGCAAATCGACGATAATCTGCTTGGTGGGTCAGGGCCTTAAAGTCTGTCCTTTGTAAGACAGTCTAGCAGATACCTGTTTTACCTAAAGGGGAACATGCTGATGGCGGTAAGTTACCTCCAGCAGACGGTCTCTGGAAGGGATCGTAGGCCCGGCAGGCGTCGATCAGAAGTTCTAGTTCTTTGGGACAGTCGTCAAGCGGCTCCTGGTATTTTTCTACGAATACTTTCTGATGGACTTCTTTAACGGTCAAACCTGAAAGAAAATCACGAACACAATAAGGACAAAATAATAAGACCACGTTGTAGTTTTAGTCATGCTAGCAGCACCATTTTAGTCCACACTTTTGGATGGATTGCCCTTCTGTTCAGACGTTCATGTTCCTCGTTCTTAGTCAACGTTTCTGACATTTACAGACCAAAACAATGTATGTAGAAAACAAGTTAATTGTACAAGAAGAGTCAGGTGCAGCTGTGCTTTGATTTCATATATTTAAAGTTGTTTTTAACTTCTAGTAATTTCTGTATGTGATTTAGATCAGTGGTCCCCAACCCAGCAAAGGACAGCATTTAATATTTTTCTGTAACGTCGATCAACCATGAGGTCCTTTTTTTTTTTAGATGTTGCAATCACATCTAGAGTTGGAGAGTCCTGGCTGTTGTGTTCTGCAGATACATACCGTCAAAAGGTTTGCGTCCAGTTGCAACTTCCCAGAGGACGATTCCAAAGCTGAAGGGCAACATTTCAAAGTTATCGTACAGCATTGAAAACAAACATGCAATGTCTGAATGAACCTGATGTCCAGAGTGATGGTATCTGACCTGTAAACCTCACACTCTTTGTTGTAGCTGTTAATGTGTTCCAGCAACTCAGGAGAGGAGTAGGTGAAGGACCTGTTGACCCCGCCCCTCGTTGGCTTTCTCAGAGACGTCTCAGTTTGTGAAAACTCAAAGCCTCCCAGCTGAAAACCACACCAAGACTTTATTAGTTTCCCCCAACGCCAATCATTGGACCGTTAGCAATCCCAGCATGCACCAGTGTCCGTACCTTGACTCTGTAGCCGTCATCCACCAGAAAATTGCTGCTGTTGATGCATCCATGAACTTTACCTTTTTCTTCAGACTGGTGCAGTCTAAAAATGACACAGATGTTATCATCATGAAGGGACATTTTATCTTTTAAATTGAATTGAATTGAATTCCTTTATTGTCATTGTACAGGTACAATGACATTTAAAAAGCAGAGAGAGAGAAAAAAATAAAAATAAAGAGAGAGAAAAAATAAATCAGGATAACGGGTAAGTATCTCGTGAAAAAAAAAAAAAAGTTGGGATAACGGCTTAAGAGACATAAAAAAAAAATATATCAGAAAAAAAATAAAGTCAGGAAAACGGGTCCATTTATTTTTTGCGACAAGGACAGAGTGGAGCACACAGGAGACAACCATTTCATTGCAGGCTGTTGTGGGAAATGACAGTGCATACATTATTTGAGATATATTTCGAACTCAGACTTAATTTTAAGGACATTTCAGCCAGAGGGGTGTGTTTAAAAACGTAGCAGCCTGCGGTCACTCCAGGAGGCGGCGGGACGTTTAACTCACCCCGAGATTCCACCGGGTCCGTCTGCGTCGCGTTACGGCTGCGCCGCGGCGTTCTAGTCAATGGGTGCTATTCCACCAGACACTAGAAGCGCCCCAGAAGCGTCTCCCCGCTGGGCTCCGCTCAAAATAGGATTCAAGTTTATTTTTCGACGCGAGGCGTTGCAGAGGCGCCGGGCAGGAAGTGGACCGGTCAGAGCATCCGGCCCATCCCCAAAATAAACTAATTTTGCAGACCCTATCCCTTTCCCTGTCTTTCAAGTAGGAGGAGAAATGTCAGCGTTCTCCTCCGGTTTACAGGCACTGTGTACATTATATATATAGAATAATTATGATGATGAATGCATTTTTTTACCACTAAAATACAGCAACACCTCTTTGATTCATGTCGTTTATATAACTGGGGTATTACAATTATTATTAACTTTGTCTGCACAAAGTAGCCTGTCCAGGAAATATGCCCAAATCAACTAAAACTGCGAGCCGGCACGCAAGAGGCTCTGCCTCTGAAATGTTTCTGAAACACGCTCGGTAGGGTATGACGCCGGAGGAGGCCGGACCAAAACCGCGGCGCAGCTCCACTTCCTCCTTGGCGCACCGGTAACTAAGAAACTAACCCGTTTTCCTGACTCTTTTTTTTTTTCTCATATATTTTTTTTATGTCTCTTAAACCGTTATCCCGACTTCTTTTTTTATCTTCTTTTTTTTTCACAAGATACTTTCTCGTGAGTATGAGATAGTAACCCGTTATCCTCTCTCCCTTTTTTTTCCATCTCCCTTTAGGGGCTCCGTAACAAGCAATAATGCACAGGGCATAAAATAAATGATTGTGTTATTCTAACCGGTAAAGTCCCAGCGCTGCGTCCCGGCACATACGAGCTTTCTGGTTCCAGCTCAGTGTGCAACCAGAGTCTAGAACCTCCCGCAGACTTCCCTTCTCACAGTACTCCATGATGATGAGAAAATGAGGTTTAGGTCCTGCAGGAAGTCACAAGTTATTGTCATTTTAAAGGAGTGGTGCAGGAATTATGTATTTTTGTAGGTAGGTTGGACCAATGAATGCAATTGACAGAAGAAAAAAGCTAACGATAGGCTATAAAGGAACTACAGCACGGTCACATGACTTCACGTCACCACCGCTAAGCTAAAGGATGCTAATGTTGGGCTATCACATGATTTCATGTCACCACCGCTAAGCTAAAGGCAGCTAATGTTCACAGGGATGACGTGTATTACTCTTATTTAGTCATATTGTAGCAATTGCCCTTTCCAAGACCAATAGGACATTCTCCAGTGGGGTATTTAGTATTTACTGATGTATTTTGTGTCTAAGAACCAAAGTCTCTTCAGCTTGTGTTAACCACAGACTTTGACTTCAAGACAAGGAAATCAGACAAGCTACAATGCTGACTCATTCCCGGGTTTGAGGACTCATTGCTGCACCACTCTATATTCAGAATTGTATGCTACAGTCCACTCACCCGTCTCGTCCTCGATACAGATGCCATACATTCGCAGGATGTTGGGAGACTGAAAGACTTTCATGGTTTTCACATCCTTTTTGAAACCTCTTTTCACCTCGCTATATGTCAGTGGCATTGAGGAAGAAGGGAAAAAAAGGAACGGTAACAGCAAGCACTTATCTCCTCCAGCTTGTCTTTAAGGTGAATAAATCCACCAAAAGAACAAAATGATGAACGCAATTAGGAAAAAGGAAATTGGTATTGTCGTGAAATGTGCACAGACCTTATGCTGGTGGTCGCAGGGTCAGTGTATCTCTTGATGACCACTGGGAAACTACGGTACTCTCCTCTGAAGACCTCTGAGGTTGGTGTTTTCATGAAGGGCTTCTTGGTCAGGCCGTCAACAGACTCGTATTTAAGCTCCTGCTGTTTGATGATCTGGATGCCCACATCGTAGGGCTTCTTCTCCACTGTAAAAATATGTGGTCAAAAGTTAGTTTTAGCTCTGGTTTTGGTTTCCTCCAACTACTAAGGCAAGATGGATTTATTTATATAGAAGGTTTCAACAACAAGGCGACTCAAATCTGATAAATTGTTCTGACATTGATTATTATGCTGTTTATGCTATACTCACACATTTTCAGAATCTTATTTATGTCTTCCTGCAACTTTTTTGCCATCTGCCGCTGGTCCTCCGCATACTGCAGTAGCACTGAGGAACAAACAAACACGTATAAAGTAAAAAAGAAAACAATAATGCACCACTTTGTTGCTGTGATTTCACACAATATCCTAAACAGGGATGTCGTTTCATGTCCTTTTATCTGATAGTCAGTATGTTCAAGTTTTGATACTGTCATACGAAAATGTGAAGAATGTTTTGTCATTAAGCTTTATTTCAACCTGGACTTTGAGGGACTACAAGGTCCAGGAAGTGCCGAAGTTCCTCAAACTCATGCGTCTTTGCTTTCCTTTTAAAGGTCACCTATTAGGCAAAATCTGCTTTTTCATGTATTTTCTACATCAATATGTGTAAGTCTGTGTAAAGAGATTCTGAAAGTTTCAGGAACAAAGACCCCCTCTCTTTGTCCTGATCCATTAGTATAAAAACCTGTTTTTTTGGCTTGTGTAACCATTCGCCAATCACCAACCAAGGTAACCCCCCTCTCCCACCTTATCACCTGAATCTCCTCTTAGAGTTCTCAGAGGGGCGTGGCCAGCAGCAGCTAATAGCATTGAAAGATACAGACAGAGAATCCGCACTTTTGGAACAGGGCGGAAACAGAGGCGATTATGGGATGCTGCAATGATCTGTTTGGTGTTTCAGACAGATACTTCTGAGACATGTTCTGTATATACCTGAGATCTATAATATATTGCTGAAAAATAGTATAATAGGGGACCTTTACACTTTTTTAAATAAAAAAAACCAGTGGGCTATCAAGCTAGCGAATGTTAGCTATCCATCTAACTAGTAAACGTTAGTTTTTTATCCAACAGACTAACTAGTAGATGTTAGCTATCTAACAAGCTGGCTAGAAATGATAACTGTACCTATCATCAAGATGGCAAGCGAACATTAGCTATGTACTTTACAAGCTAGCTTACATTAGCTACCTATCTAACAAGCTGGCTAGCGAATGTTAGCTATGTAGCTAGCGTTTGTGCCTACCTTGCAGGCAGGGAGAGTTATGATACAAACATTGTTGACATGTGAGTTTTTTTAAGCTGACCGGCTGCTAACAGCTCAAAACATTGCCTTAAATGACCAAATATGTTCTATATGGATAAACTAATCATGTATTGGTAATATAAATGGTTAGTTTCTTAACTGGAAAAAGTGTTATTATCTAATAAAAGTACATTTAGAACATCTTACAAACGTTTATTTGGCAAGATAAAGTTGATAAAGCTAATGACGCTAGGCAAAGTAATTGCAATTACGCTCTAACTGGAAGTTCGAACACAAATCAAGGTTCTGAAACTCTACAAAGCCACCATCAGTTTCCCCTCACGTTTCTTCAGCTCGCTGTCATCCTGCTTCCTGTCCTTCTCGTCCTGTTCCTCCCTGGTGGATCTTTCGAACACCTTTAGTAGGATGTTGCCAAGCTCCACCTGCAGAGATCCTGAAAGGACCTGGTGGGCGTCGTTGAGGCGGTCGTTCAAGCTGCTGAACTCGTCTTCGTGGCTGCCAGACTTCACCACTCGCTTCATGAAAGATTCCCCTGAGTATTTCTCCATGACCTCCTTCGCTGATTGCAGAGTGATGGAGAGTTCTTTGAGGCATCGTTCTACGTCTGCAGAGGTTTGTCCCTTCTCTCTCTGCTGGATGGACTTCACCAGATGCTCTAGAGCTTTGACGCGATCGCAAACACGACGGCATCGCTTCTTGTTGGCCTTCAC